GGGCGCCCCGACGAGATCCACGGCGGATGCACCTCCGGGATGGACGAGGAGCGACGCCCGGGAAGCGGTGCAGCGCAGGCAGGGAGCCCGACCACCGGAAGCGGAGCCCAAGAAGCCCCGCCGCCGGTGCTCGGCAGTCCCCCCACGGGCAGACGGAGGAGCGACAGGACGGTCCACAGCAGCATAGCCCAGACACAGGTTCCGTCGACCCCCACCACGAAGGCAGAGGGGTGGAGAAGGCACGGGGCCCTGTCTGACAGTCGAACAGGCAGGATGCCGCGACAGTGCCACCGAGGACAACCGTGCGACGACCGACGGTCCAAAACCACAACGAATTGCGACAGGAGTGTAGGGTTTCTCCCATGACGAGAGTAGACCGTAGAAACGACAGTCAACCATAAAAAAACGATAAAAAATGGAATCATTGCGGGTGAGCAGCGGCAGCCAGACGCGCCAGCGTTCACCAACCCGGAAGTAACCCGGTGACCCAGCGTGCTGCACGGAATCACTTGTGGATCGGTCAACTTATACCAATAATGTCAAGTGAATGACAGGAAAATATACAAATTGGGGTTTCTGATCGCCCCTTGATAATTGTAGGCGCCTGGGTTCCAACCCAGGTAAGCCTTTGGTCTACAGCAGAGATCGGCCCTTTACCCTATTTTGTCAGTCCGTCCTCCGTCTCCGGCCTTGTTACTGGCAATTAATACCCTACAGAAATCACTTACTTTGCTCCATATATTCGAGTACCACTGCCGATCCCATCTTGAATGGCACATTTTGCCACAACTGCAAGCATCACCATAGACAACATTTACCAAAGATATCGTAGCCAGCTTTCTTAACCGGCTGGATTGATCGTTATTGAAATGGGTGTCTGTAGGTACTTTATGTCCTCTGACTGTACACTTAGGTGGGAGTGTTGCTATAAAAATATGTTGAGGCAAGGAGTTCTGTAATGGCAATGAAGCGAGTCGTAAAGTGAGGTCAGCTTTTATTGTCAAATATGCTCTATGTGGAACATACAGGACAGATGAAATTACTTTCCTCTCTCAACCACAGTGCAGACATGTGGTTGGTTGAGAGCTAGTGTTGTGCTGTTAATAGCCTGTTAAGAAAATAAAGTGTTTGGCTACACTCTGGCCTTATTATTTTGCCTCCTGACACCACAAACATAACCCGGTTAGGGACGATTAAAGGAACGGATAAAAACTGTTCCATCTTTGCTTAGTCTGTCCTTTTCAAAAAACTTCTCGTCCCCATCCTCCGTCCCCAAAATGGGCATCCCAGGGACTGAATTCCCATCTCCGGTCTACAGGTAGACATGACAAGCAAGGTATTGTATGCAATTTTTAATCGTACTTTCTTATTCCTCGAATGGTTGCATGAGTGTGTACTGCTAGTAATTTAGCTAACACTGTTATTGTAACTATTAAACTAAAGTATACCGTACATTATAGGTATGTGACAACTGACTTGTTTCTGCCATTGTTCGCTAGGACATTTTCATGTGATCGCATCGTGCAGGTCTATTTTGCATTCCTCTCAGATAAAAATGATATGGCTTGTTGAAAAAAAAAAAATGTTTTCCGCATTTATTTTTTGATATAATATACAGAGAAATCTCTTCTGTTGCCTCATTTTCAATTTTTATCGCAACTTTGACCACCCAAAAAGTGATAGTTTATAGTTGATAATTAACTGGAATATTTATATCAACCTATCCCGGCTAATTTTGAGGATTTGAGGGGACATGCACACAAAGTTATGTTGAATATATACATTGCCAAAATTTGTGTCGCCTAACCGTGAATACGGTGAGAAGCAGGAGAGCTGTTCACCGGGATAAACTAGCTGTCCATTGACAGCGATGGTGTGGGCATCTATGGGAGCCAAACATACTTCAGGCAGATGGGGGTCGCATTTCTTATCTTGACTCCAAATGCATTTTTGCTCTTACTTTTTTTCAAACAGCCGCACACCACTTTCATACAGACATTTGGTCAAAGACCCCTCCATTGTAACAATAGTATATAAAGTAGTAATTTTGCCCACATTTTGAAACCTGTAGAACAGGGGTGTCAAACTCATTTTTGTCGCAGGCCACATTATAGTTACGGTTTCCCTTGGCGGACTGTTATGACTATGAATTTTGTGCAACCATATCAATGTTTAACCACCTCTACATATTACAAACACAGCGAACAACAAATAGAAGGGTAACTAATTTTGACAACATCAGGAATAATGTATTGTTCAAACATTGTAATTATTACATTATATATGACAATTTGAAATTTTGACTTCAGCAAGCATCATGGAAGTTGACAGGCTTGAATTGCCTTTGCAGGCCACATAAAATGATGTGGCGGGCCAGATCTGGCCCCCAGGCCTTGACTTTGACACCGGTGCTTTAGAATGTCCTAACTTCATTCATTCATAGCACACTGACTTGTTCCTTTTTTCCAATTCTGTCTGGTGACATTGTTCTTGCTGGGAAAAAAACATTGTTTTGTTGTTACGTCCCTATGTACTGGGGGCGGAGGGGGGGGGGGGCAACGTTTAAAATCAAACAAGTTAAAGACTTTTTCTTCCCCCCCAACATACTGTTTCCTGAATCTATTAGTGAGTGTTTGTAAAAGCTTGAATGAGAGGCATAAACTTTGTGCACTGTGTGGGTTGTCACGTTATAAAATGCAGTACATTAATATTCAGTGCGTTACGACTGGTGAGGCAGAGCTACCACATTAAATATGGCGCACGCGCTTACGTATCCCAGCAACCGGTCAACCCCTTTCAGGCGGAGTCTATTTATATTCAAAGTCAATGGTTTGAATTGAAGGACTGCACAATGTGCACATTCAAATCGGAATAGTCACACAAGCGTCACCGAAAGGGGTCACTTGGGTACTATATACGCTCCTAACACAACCTCCGAGAACAAAGTACTGTCGACACATTTTCGAACCGGATTATATCAACTCGGTGGAATTGAACACAAAAATGCTGAGGACAAAGAGGACAGCAGCCGCTGTGACGCTGGTAACACTCGTCTTTCTCCGCTCAAATGCCGTCACAGGTGCGTTTGTCCCGTCCGCTTCCTTTTATGGGTGTAGCTGATGGAAGGTTTTCTTTCAGACGTATTTCAACTAAACACGCAAAATAAATGTTTGGTGTGGGTGACTGTGCGTGTGTATACTGTATACAGTACTCTATTTATTGTACAGTGTTGTCGACAAGATTGAAAATTTGTAATATCGCGTCAAAATCTACCATAAAAAGTGCTTGAAAGACACCTGGAATTTCAACCGTTTTAATTCACGAAAGATACGTGATTGAGCAATGTAATGTGTTTTTTTTAAATAGATAATCCAATCCAACTTTATTTGTTAAGCGCTTTAAAAGGAGAGAACACTGCAACCAAATAGCTGTGCAAAGTTAAAAAAAATAAAAAATAAAAGAAAATGGATAATAATAAGAAAAAAATAAGAAATAAATAAATGAATAATGAAATAAATATAGAACATGGAGGTAGAGGTGGGTAAACGCGTACGATGAAAAGACACAAATGCTGGTCATGAAGGATGGGAAAAAAATCATCATAATAATTCAAACATAAATTGTACATAAAAGTTAGATTTTGTTGAATACATTTCTCCTTAATTTAGCAGTTCATATACAATTTTGATAGTTTTCTTATAGCCATGCTAAACATTCCACCTACATTTTTTTTAGATCATACATATAATTGACGATATTACACTGTACGGTTAATCGTCCATACCAACAGGTGTCAAATTCAAAGCCCGGGGGCCAGTCTGCCACATCATTTTATGTGGGCCCCACCAAGGCAAGTCATGTACATCGACTTTGTGTTTTTTGCTAAAATGCTAAAATCTTCGGTTTTAACAACAAGAAGATTGCAATCATTTTTTTAACCAACGCTCATTGAAAGGTTGTTTTTTTTAAACTGGCTTCTAATTTCAAAAGTAGTTATTCGTCAATTTGTTGTGTTTATGATACAAGATGCATATACTACATCCAGACAATTTCAAAAGTAGTTATTCGTCAATTTGTTGTGTTGATGATACAAGATGCATATCCATCCAGATGTATTTGCTTTAATTTTGCTTTGCTTTCCCCTGCTGTCAGTTCGGCATCGCAAACGAGAATCTATTTTTAATCGCCTTGCGTGGATCAAGATTGTTGAAATAAAAACAAACAGAAATAAAATTAGTGTGGAAAGTAATTGAACAAGCAGGAGTGCTTATCATTTTCTTCCAATGCAACTCAGGTCAGTCACTGTTCATGTCAAAAGAACACTTAATCAGTCGCAGACCGCAGACCAATTATCATTTTCTTCCAATGCAACTCAGGTCAGTCACTCTCCATGTCAAAAGAACACTTAATCAGTCGCAGACGCAGACCAAGTCATGACTGACTCAATGTGTTTTATGACTGAAAAGCGTTTTATCCAGAAAGGATGGGCCATACAGTTCAAAGTTGGCATTTACGATCTAGAGTTTTCTGTCAGCCGCATTCTTTTGAGGTAATTGAATTTCGAGTTGGAAAAATAGGGTTCTTTCGTGTTCATGCAAGTATGTTGAAAGTTTACACTTGCTCACCTGTGTGTGTGTGTGTGTGTGTGTGTGTGTGTGTGTGTGTGGGTGTGGGTGTGTGTGTGTGTGGGTGTGTCCAGAGCGATATAGTGGGTGTGTGTGTGTGTGTGTGGGTGTGTGTGGGTGTGTCCAGAGCGATATAGTGGTACCTCTACTGACGAAATTAATTGTTTCTGGAAGAAATTTCTTAACTAGAAAATTCTGTAAGCAGAGACGCGTTTCCATGTAAATGTCCTAATCCGTTCCAAGCCCCCAAAAAATCTGACAAATGTTTTATGAAGCAATACAAATGCATCAAAATATGTAACAAATACATGTTACAATTAGATTATTGCACAATAAATGAGAGTTGTGCATAATGTAAAAAGCAAAGATGAGTAAAGAATAAAAATGATGGTCATTTAACTTTTAACTGCCTCACCCATCGTTTTTTACCCTCTTTAGGTTATGTTCTCTCTCAGAAATGTTTTTTGCCTGGCGTTTTGTAAAGAACTGATCCAAGGATGCTTGCTTTTGTCGGCTATTAACAATCCTTCGAAAATGTCCAAGGCAAACATCAGCATAATGAGCAATCGCCCGACTGGTGAACAATTTTTCTGGGTGATTCACATTAATGTAAAACTATCAGAACGCCTCATGCCCCAAGGGGCGAATGACAAGGACGCTGTATAAACACATTCTATCTACTCATGTAGACACAAAGGGTAGAGGTCCCTCTTAGCCAATTCGAAGCCAGGAAAATGCTAGGTAATAGCCAATGGCAGAGCAGCTATAGGTATGTCTCGTTCAGGAAACTCGCAGCTGTATTTTTACCTTTCGTATCTTGAAATTTCTTTCGTAACAAGAGGCAATATTTTTCTGTTGAGGTGTTTCGTAACTTGAAAATTTCATATGAAGAGACGTTCGTAAGTAGAGGTACCACTGTATTTGGTTTTAGTTATATTATTAGTTACATTACTATAATTTGACGACAAACTTTGAACAATATTTAAAATGTTTTGTGTCGATCTCATTTTTCAGGGATTTATCCCACTGCACAGACCGTCACCTGGAAATCCACAAACTTTAAAACCATTTTGACCTGGGAACCGTTACCGACTGACTACTCCTACACTGTCGAGTTCTCTCCGTAAGCCTTTTCATAGATAATGTACAGCAGTTCAGTTCTTCCAACAGCAACGTTTTGCCCTATCATCATTTGCAATTATGTAATGGATTATGTGTGTGAAACCTTTTGCAGAGTTGCCAGAGACAAACAGAGGAACTCTAATTGCATACGTATCTCAACAACTATGTGCGATCTGACCAGTTCACTGGCTGACTTAAACTCCTGCTATGTAGCTGATGTCCTGTCTGAACCCCCACTGGGAGTAACCTCTGACCTCACTGAGTTCCCACACACAAGCTCCTCACGATTCTGCCCTGCCAATGACAGTAAGTTGATTTGAAATCGCCATCATTTAACCGGATCCCAAAAAAAGATGACAGCAATGTGGCATTGGACGGAAACAAATGGTTGAGGATGATTCGCAAATCATTGTGATTCTGTTTTTATTGATGTGTACCACAATGTCCCAACTTCATTGGAACTGGGTTTGTGCATAATATACATGATAAGCTTGAGAGAGGCTGAGAATTAGGCTACCCGTAAATGTTTGGGGCTTGGTTGGGGGCTGAGAGAAGTATATTTCTCTCCATTTTCGGTGCTGAAGTGTACAACAAAAGATTCAGAGTTGCTGAGGTCAACAGGCTTTTCCTCAACGTAGTGCTTCTCTTCAGACACTGCCACCCAGTGGGCACATGCGTTCACTGCATGGATATCAAACGATCCGCTGGAGACCTTGAATATTGGCAACTCGGAAATATTTAGAAATGAAAGATTTGATCTCAAAATAATATTTACTTTCCCTGGTAGGTATTTTGTATTTCAGTGACCACTTCCAAGTTTCGTTCTACTTTCTTATTCCATGTTTTCAGTATGCACACGTTCTATGATGAATGATGTCATGGTGCTATTTGTGTTTGGCGTGATGCGCGGTGCATGATGCAACAACAGTGTTCCTGCAGGGCTGTACTCCCAATTTATCACCTGATAGCACTGGTGCTACCAAGTTTTCACTTGGTTGCAGCAGCACATGATTTGGTCGCTCGTCCCCTACTTGCTTTTGTATGGCTGCATGATACTGGGGAAAAAAAAAAACATGCGATATTGTTGTTTAATATTGCGATGTCAATATTGTTGCTTTATTTAACATGTTGCGAAATAAATGTCGATCGCAAGGGGTGTAGATGGGGAAAAAAAACCTTTTGTGTGTCTCTGCGCATGTTATAAATGTTTTTTTGTGTTAATGCACACTGCACCTTATTCATCCTATGAGTGTCACTTTCACAAAAAGTACTTTAAAAAATAAAAATCAAGCAGGACACCTTTTAACCCTTTTAGAGCAACGGTGGCGCGTGACCCGCATTATTGGAAGTTGTTAGCGCTCAGTAGTCTGCAATTGCAGCTCGGGATCAGAGCTGCAGTAATTATTATTATCATTCAAAGCTTGTTTGACGTACAATTCGCCAATGGAAGAGGGGAGCGGATAGCTCAGTTGGTAAGGTATCGGTTTGCTGCACGCGAGACGGGGGTTCGAATCCCACTTGGGGCAATAGAAAATCGTAACATTTGACCATTTCTGGGCTTTATATGTTGTTCGAGCGACCGTATTTTCCGCACTATAAGACGCTTCGAAGTATAAGGCGCACCTTCGATGAATAATGAACTTACTATTTTAAAACTGTTTTGATATATAGGGCGTACCGCTACAGATAGAAGCTACAGTGGTGGCTGTGGTTGCGGTATGGATGCATCTAAATGGAGCTATGCTAAAGGAATACAATACAATACAACACAGCTTTATTTATCTCGAACCTTCACAACCGCTGTAGCTGTAACAAAGCGCTTTACAGAACATTTAAAATATTCCGTCCAAGAAATCAGAATATTGATCCATATCTAAGGCGCATCGGATTATAAGGCGCACTGTTGGCATTTGAGAAAACTGAATGCTTTTCGGTGCATTATAGTGCGGAAAATACGGTATTCCTTATTGGAAGTGTGAACATGACTCCAAAAAAATGTGCACAGCGTGGTACAAAGATCATTGATGATTTTTCAAATTAGGTGGAGAAAACTTTAAGAACATAAAATGTTTGAAAAAACAAATGCGCGTTGATTTCAATGTACGTATCTCGGAAATTTGCACTGGCCCAATCAGGCTATCGTGAGTGAACTTCGTGTGGCCCTCCACAGTGATGTAGTGGCCGTGGGCCACTGTTCATGTGAAAATTCAGTACAGTAATTTCCGAACAGCGCTTATTATTATTTCTACTCAGTCACCAGGCTGACTACTGCTGATATATTGTGTCTCCCAACTGGTTTGATGCTGTAACATTCTGTAATGCTGGACACAAGTACAGCACTTGGACACCGCTGGGGTTTCGTCGTATTTCTTCTTGAACTTGCAATGAACATTCTTTTCCCCTTGTCATGTTCTTAGCTTATCTTAGTTGTTTTCGATAAAAGTCTCACCAACACAGAGGAGATCATTTTGAGTTACACTGATGCTTGTGAAATTTACACGAACTCAGTATGATCGCGGTCAATTCCCACTCAATGTTTTGATCACGTTTTCAAAAATATTGCGGACACACTTTAATTAAAATGGACCGTTTTTCAGAGTTCACACGTTTTCTGCCAACAAACTACATCTGATCAGTGTCCTCTTCCCAGCTGATATCGGCAGACCGGATTTCAAGCTGGAGGTGAGCGACAACAAAAAGACGACGACGCTGTATGTGACCGACCCACTCACTGCCTTGTTTCGAGATGGTCGCCAGCTGAACATCAGAGACATTTTCTCAGATAAACTGCATTATAAAGTAACATACCGTAAAAATAAGAGCTCCGGCAAGGTAAGTGTCAACTTTCATTCCAAATCGGCTTCGATTGCAAACGAACGATTGAATTCATCGGGGAACCGTCGTTCCTCTCTTCACCGTATTCTTTCAGAAAGTGTTCATCTCGCCGACCAGTGTGATTGAGCTGTCTGCTCTGGATCAGGGAGAAAGCTACTGTTTTAATGTTCAGGCCTTCATTCCAAGCCGCAGCATTGATAAACAACTGGGAGAGTTCAGCCAAACTCAGTGCTCTGATGACGACGAACAATCCTTCTTTGAAGGTGAGTGATTAGCTCTTTTGTGCCAAACAAAATAAAGATTAAGGTCCAATTTATTAGTCCCATGAAGGGAGACTAATGTAAATTAGGAATGTCTGTAGTTTTTTTTTCCTCCCCGAGTTTCAATATGACCTAGATTCTGGAGGACTTAAAATCAACAAAAAAAGAAACTCAATTGGGAGGGAAGGTAAAAAAAAAAAAATCTCACGAGAAAGATTCCTGAATATGTTTGCGACCTCTTGCAAGTCCGTGACCCACATTTTGAAAGATTTAGTGTGGTTTATCGCAAGTTGTGCACGCCCTTGTAAAAGAACTATTTCAACTATTGCCTTCATGATGATGGAAAATTTGTGTTGCCACATTGCTCCTCCCTGAGTGGTCTCCTTATCGAGGTGGAATGGTTTGTGTTTCCCAATCAAAGCCTGGTTTGCACGGCAAGATTTTAAACTTGTCGGCGGAGTTCCAAAACCTGAGGAACCCCACACAGGGCGATTAAAGGTCCCCTTTTCGGACTTTTGACAGCGCCATACTTTACCACGTTTGCCGTGCGTTTGTGAGCTTTCAAGACGCCAACTCTGTCAAAGGACCGGACAAAGCTGTCCTTGCGCACGCCTATTCAAAAATCGTGAATTGGTAAAAACGATATTTTTATTCCCAGTATTTTTTAATAAAGACTCTTGAAGGTCCGGATGAGCTGGACCACGGTCCGCCAGTTCTGGACCACTGTTCTAAAATGTCCCTAAGTGTGATTGTTAGTATGAATGGTTGTTTGTCTGTGTGCCCCCTGATAGGCTGGCAACCAATTCAGGGTGTCCCCCGCCTGCTGCCCAAAGACAGCTGCGATAATTTCTAGTAGCCCTGTGACCCTCGTAAGGATCATGTGATAGATATTGATGTCAGTGTCCCTTGTACAGCACTTTGTATGCAGCGATGGCTGTTTGAAAGTGCTCTATAAATACAGTTGAGTTGAGTTGAGTTGAGTTCTAGCAAGAGGAGAAGAAGTTTTTGTCGTGAAACCAATATCATGCACAGTGGCTTATGCAGCATTTACGTAACCCAGAAACCTGCAATTGTTATTGTAAAGATTGGATACTGGTTGTGCTGGGAGAGGCCTTCAATATTCACACGAGCAATGACAGGGAGACCTGGAAGGTCGTGTTTGGGAAGATAATTTAACATTCCAAGAATATTTGTTGTCATCACATTGCTAACAGAGCTTCAGTCTGAGTGTGACAAGATGTGAATGATTCGCGCGGGGGGCCGTCAGGAATCAACAACAACAAAAAACAAAAATCACATGTATGTCCAGAGTTTTTCATTGTGAAAGGTCCAGTTTGAATTGACCAATTTATCATTATTTGCACTAAAATAACGGGAAACATTTGGAATAGTTATTTATAGTTTGACATCCATGTGGCCTCTGGCATGACTATATGCTAGGATGACTACTGGTAGCCTGTTAGCATTAAAGCTATCCTCTTGCAAAATTGTTCTTGACTATGTACGATTTCAAAAGACCCCCCCACCCTCGCGCAATCATTCACATCTTGTCACACTCAGACTGGAGCTCTGCTAGCAATGTGATGACAACAAACATTCTTGGAGTCAATACAAATGACTTTTCCAACTGTTACACATCTTAACATGACATCCAGTCTACAAAGACCAAGCAATAATTCTAATTAACTATTCAGGGGTGGCCCGGTAGTTGAGTGGTTAGCGTGTCAACTTCACAGTGCAGAGGTACTGGGTTCAATTCCAGCTCTGGCCTTCCTGTGTGGCGTTTGCATGTTCTCCCCGGGCCTGCGTGGGTTTTCTCCGGGTACTCCGGTTTCCTCCGACATTCCAAATACATGCATGACAGGCTGATTGAACACTCCAAATTGTCCCTAAATGTTGAGTGTGAGTGCGGGTGGTTGTTCGTCTGTCTGTGCGCTGCGATTGGCTGGCAACCGGTTCAGGGTGTCCCCCGCCTGCTGCCCAAAGATGGCTCCAGCACCCACCGCGACCCTAGTGAGGATAAAGCGGTTCGGAAAATGAATGAATGAATATTCTGGGGTAATTACATTCTAACGAGTGATGGCAGATTCAAAACATGTTACCTTGCGGGTGATTAACGCGGTGGATTGCTGTCTTTTACACCGGTGACCACGGTTTAAATCCCAGTCACGACATTCACATCATAATCTGATTGACTCAAATTCCAAACCACTGCCTGTGTTCAAATGCACCAGAAAGGGCATCTTGTGTCTAAATTATGTCAAAAACATACCAGTCGTTACTGTGGTGACATTACAAGTTGTGCCCCACTCACTGCGTGTCGTCGTTTTACCACTAGAGAGTGCTAATCGACTGCGAAAAGGGTCTTGATTTAGTGTCAAATGGATTTATGTGCTCTATAAATATCTGTATGAATGGAGTGTAATGAAGCCCAGAAACGACTCGGGCAACAAGAAGGTAAAAAATCCGTCGACCATTTTTTTTAATCTAGTTGGTGTACTTGTTTAATTTTCATTTTCCTACCCTAAGTCTTTGGTTTTAAAAGACAGTGACTGCGGGTGTTTTCTCACAGCAATCCTTTTTTTCTCGATTGCCGAAAACAACTACCTCCAGTTTGTTTTCATTCAGCCAAAGGAAATTTTGGTTCATCCAGTTGCTATTTCGCTCAAGACAGTGACACAGCATGTTGAATGAACTGCTGTCATTTGGGAAAATTGATGAAAAGCTGTGTGACACCTGCATAAACCATGAAGCATCTGACTCAAAGGGAACATACAGCGACTGAAGAAAAAGGGTCCAAGGACAAACCCTTGAGGGATCCCACATCATGGCCATTTGATTAGATTCAAAACATAGAAGGATCACAAAGAACTACTTTCCTTGAAGTAGGACCTTAACCATTTTAGGACTGTTCACTTGAATCCCACCCAAGTTTCCAACCTGTTCAACAGTTTATTTTTGATCAGTTGTCTCGAACTTTAACTTTTCGATCAGATCTGAAGAGGGACTTCCTATGCCCTCGTCTTCGCAGGAAGACTTTGGGGCAAGATTCAAGACATACTTTTGTGTCCATCTGTATTTTTGTTTTAATTGATCAATGCTGGTCATTAGCACATCTGATAATGTATCTCAAATGTCTTTTTTTCCCTACAGTGTATTCAGTGGGCGTGATTGTCGCTGTCATCCTCCTCATCTTGCTGCTGATCATCATAACTGTTGTAATAATAGTGTGCTGCAGGCGCAAGAAAGGTGCCCTCAAAACGGAAAAAGAAGGCGTTCCACTCCAGAGTATATAAAGGGTTCGCATCACAGTCACCCATCATTATTACGGTACGCGATAGTTACAGATATTGGATGGACATAACACTAGTCCCAAGAGTTTCTTTTTTTTTTCTTTTTTTTTTTTTAATGCGAGAATCAATACATCGGTTTCTGTGAAACCACTTTTTAATTTGTCAGATGTTCTGTAGACTATTGCAGAAAATAACTTATTTGCTGTCTTGTGAGAATTCCGTCAGGCTCAAATTAAAATAGTAAAAATATATTTTTTTAATCATTATCCTCTTCATCACCATAATAATTGGAGTAGATTTTTTTGTCAAACCAAAAAAGATCAACACAAATCCCAATCTCATTTTTGATTGACATATTGTCCTTAAAATCTGTTCAGATTTGTGTATTCATGCTGCTTTTGCCAATCATTGTGAAATATCACCTCCACTGTTTTTTGACGACTAAGCACTCTTAAGTATTCACTTTGCTCCTGAGACTTGTTTCTTAGGTTTGACAGAACACTCTCATCTTCTTGTTTACTGTTTCAAAGCACCAAATGAAGCACAACTGGTGTTTGTCGATAATGTAATAAATATACGGGCTGTGTAGCAGGCTACAGGACGGATCAAATCAGTTTGCCTGTTTCGAAGTCCTTTTGCGCCCTCTAGTGGATTAGTGCATTTACAACAAGTGAATCGTCGCTTGGAGAGTGGTTGTGTGCGTGTTGTTGACTGACAAAATCTAAAAGATAAAACACTGAAAAATAGAGAAATATGTTCGAGGATGCTTACTCAGCTTTGTGTCAGCTCCTCTATTCGTGGCTCCGGTGAAAATTACTTTTTTTGGGAGCGGTTGAAAAGGTGAGTGTGAATCGCGATTGGTTGCCGTCGGCGGGACCCTGCTTGAGCTGGTATCACGTTCACGACTTTTTCAAATGTAGAACACCCATCAACTGAGAGAGAATTCACAGTCACATGTGGCAAGTATAGCGTCGATGACCTTGCTCTTGCGTAATCCACAGCAAAATAACAGTATGTGACGAGTTCTGGCTCGATTCATGACAAAAATACAGTTTCAAACAAGACACAAAGGTGTGAGTCCCCGTCGCTAGGTAAGAGATTTTCTCTCTTTAAGTCAAAATATCAAATTCCAACAAGGAATGACGACTATACTGCCCAGATGACAACGTGCTGGTTGCTTATCGTTGGAGGGGCTACGCCAACACTTCTTGATCATGCCACCGATTTACGTGAGTTCGAGCGATGGTGAAGTGAGCAACATATGCTGACCTTTTGGTCCATTTTCTTCAATTTTATCTTCTGCAAATGTGTGGTCATGGCAACAGAAGTATGCAATATCAGTCTTCTGCTTCATGCAATGCCCGGCCGCCATTTCCCTCCCAGCCGTCTCTCGAGTGCAACGCGGTATTTTCTTCGTCTGACAAATCGGAGTCAGTCTCGCCATTTTCATTGCCAGACTCTGAATCCAAGAACCTTTCTGGACCTTTCAAAAAGTCTTTCAACGTACCATAATTACGCACTATAAGGCGCACCTTTAATGAATAGCCTATTTTTAAACTGTTTTCATATACAGGGCGCACCGCATTATGAGGCGCATAGAATAGACACTACAATAGTGGCTGCGGTTGCTTTATGCATCCACTAGATGGAGCTACTCTAAAGGAATATAATACAGCTTCATTTATATCAAGCTTTCACAACTTCTGCAGCTATAATAAAGCACTTTCCAGAACATTTAAAATACTACGTCCAAGAAACCTGAATATTGATCCATGTATGAGGTGCATCCGATTATAAGGCACACTTGTCGGCTTTTGAGAAAATTGAATGCTTTTCGGTGCGCCTTTTAGTGTGGAAAATACGGTAGATACAATTTACCGATTAAATAAGGCGTTCATTCACACAAACATTTTGTGGAACCATCTTTAATTTGAAATGTTTATATGTAAGTCAGTGGTGCATAGACCTTGACACACGCATCACCGCTTCATACATGCATGACCACAGTCTGACACCATTTCGGAAGTCACTGAAACGTTTCTGATGCGTTCTTCAAGTGGAATGAAGATTGCACCTCACCCATAAACTCTCATCCCCTCCCAAAATAAAAAGAGTTTGGTATTATTTGATAATATTTTTTAATTATTTTACACCCATCTCATGGACAACTTGAACAGCTCTCTTTTTGCAGTCTGATGAGTGAAATTATTAAACTGTTATTTGTATTGATACATACTTCTGTGAAGTAATTTAGGAAAAGGAAAGCCAGTGAACAGAAAATAGTGTGGAGTGATCTGTTATCTACATACAGTAATAATATAATATTTTATCAATCATGTATAATACTGTTCAAGAGTTGCTGTGAACTTTGAAAATTACCCTGGATGTTTGTTTCATCTGCAAATACTGTAATATGAATTTCAGGAATTGTGATGTCTTTGATGTGCATGATAATTCATATTTGAAGTCGATATTCATATCCACATTTTTTTTTCTTAAATTAATTAATTACTAAAAACTTTAGCTCTTGACTGCATTAAGTACATTTATGAAACATGTTTTGAGTTTGTTTTTGTCTTTTTAAGATTCTTTGAGTATGGACAACTATTGTTTTAAATTTTTAACATGAAGTGCAAGGAGCTCACATGCTCAGCAGCATGGGCGTCATTAGGCCTATTTTAGGGAGGCTTCAGCCTCCCTAAAAATGCCTTTAGCCCCCCTAAATAATTTCATTGCATTATTTAAAAAAAGTATTATTTATTTTTCCTGTACTTTTGCTTATATATTGCATCAAAATCAATGTAATGTGGCCATCTTAAATTACATTTCGATAACCTGCCATGATTGTAATGTTAAATCTCCCAGGTTTCCTGAGCGCAACAGGTGTTGCGTTAGCATTTGACGTTTCTGTCTCCATCGCCACATCAAATGCTAACGCAACAACTGACAGTTCATTGCCGAAAGTCAGGTTGAGTCGACAGCATGGATATTCGACAGTTTTTTAGAAAGGTAAATTAAGTATTCAATGCATCCATGCTGGTAAAACTCGTGACTATAGTCCGCTAAAATATCTCCAGTAACAGCAGAAACTGCACTGTAACAAGTGTTCACTTTTGGATAAATTAAGGTGGTGCTTAATAAAAATTAAGCAACATTTTATTATTAAATAAATAAATAATCATCTTTTTTAATTATTTTACACCCATCTCATGGACAACTCGAACAGCTCTTGTTTTGCAGTCGGATGAGTGAAATTATTAAACCGTTATTTGTATTGATACATACTTCTGTGAAGTAATTTAGGAAAAGGAAAGCCAGTGAACAGAAAATAGTGTGGAGTGATCTGTTATCTACATACAGTAATAATATAATATTTGTCAAACCAGTTTTTGATTTTTATCAATCATGTATAATACTGTTCAACAGTTGCTGTGAATAGGGAAACAAATCCCTATCCCAGCTGTCTTCGGGCAATAGGCAGGGAACACCCTGAACTGGTTGCCAACCAAACAAACGCAACAAATAATATGAATTTCAGGAATTGTGATGTCTTTGATGTGCATGATAATTCATATTTGAAGCCGATATTCATATCCACATTTTTTTTTCTTAATAAAAACTTCAGCTCTTGACTGCATTAAGTACATTTATGAAACAGGTTTTGAGTTTGTTTTTGTTTTTTTAAGATTTCCCCTTGTTCTTGAAACCTAGTGACGCCCCTGCTCAGCAGCATGTTTTATAAAGTTAAATGAAAACAAGCCTGTTTCGAGTCATGAATGGGGCAATGAGTATGGACAACTATTGTTTTAAATTTTTAACATAAAGTGCAAGGAGCTCACATGCTCAGAGGCATGTTTTTTATGAAGTTAAATGAAAAGCGTGTTTCGAGTCAGTAATGGGGCGGCAGGGAATGAATATATCATATTAGGCCAATGCACTTCATGTTGAGAAATGTTTTTTCGTCAAGAGATATTCTCTAATTCGTCACAAAAATCACCTGCTCAGCCATGTACTGTACTGTAAACCCCTCAGGCAGTGGCTCTATTCAAAATGTTTGTGCGTGTGTTTTCAGTTTCACTGAAACGCGGAGGACCAATTCGGGAAACGCTTCGGACTTGCGCAACGTTTGACAGCCATGTACTGTACTGTAAACCCCTCAGGCAGTGTCTCTATTCAAAATGTTTCTGCGTGTGTTTTCATTGAACCGCGGCCAGCTCTTCCTTTGGACAAAGATATTGTAGTTTGGAAACTACAGTTGGAAAAATGTTCCAGTCGCGTTTAATTTAGTTTGAGATATTTTGGATTTGTACGTACTTCACATTCACTTACAAAAAAACGGCGTTGGCAGATATTAACAGAGCATACAAAAAGAGCTACAGTGTTGTAAAATGTTCCAGTCGCGTTTAATTTAGTTTGAGATAGTTTGGATTTGTACGTACTTCACATTCCAAGAAATCCTTACAAAAAACGGTGTTGGCATAGTTGCTTGATGTACAGCTTCAGCTTTTCAACAGTCATGTCTTCACAGATGTTTAAGTTACCCATGCCATTGACACGAACACCGCCCCTTAATATACCGTCACGGATGCTGGCTTTCAAACTTCAGACAGGGGCACACTGTGGGAAAACTTAATCAAAAGCACTAAGACAGTCCTGAAAACCCCAATAACGAAAAGTAAACAAACAAAAACCAATGACAGTAACACACTGACACGATGACAAGTGGTCGGCATGGCAGTCCTTATAAACAAAAAGAGCCGATGATGAAATGACCAACAAGTGCGATGCTGGGGGAGAAAGCCCTCTGATGCCCCCTGCTGGAGAACAGATACTGTATTCCAATATATTTTATGACCACGAAAAAGGATGGAGAGCATTTATTCACAGGGAATGAATATATCATATTAGGCCAATGCACTTGTTGAGAAATGTTTTTTCGTCGAGATATTCTCTAATTCGTCACAAAAATCACCTGCGCATCACACATTTGTGCCTGTAATTTTACACATGGCCAGGAAGTGGTGTCATATAGTCAAAGCAAGAACTTTATTTTTGTTTCATCAATCCCTAGGTTAGAGTTGTTGATTTTACCAGTAGGAAACGTTTTGCTTGTTTTGGTTTTGGTTCACCTTGAAGTCTTTTAGTGAAGGTATCGATTGATGGTGAAATTTTTGTTCTGATATAAAGCAATTATTCGCAGCAAACAAAGATAAGTGTTTTGGTGGCTGCTTCGAACTTGAGGGAGTCTTGCTTGATGTACAGCTTCAGCTTTTCAACAGTCATTTCTTCACATATGTGTAAGTTACCCATGCCATTGACACGAACACCGCCCTTTAAGATACCATCACGGATGCTGGCTTTCAAACTTCAGACAGGGGCACACTGTGGGAAAACTTAATCAAAAGCACTAAGACAGTCCTGAAAACCCCAATAACAAAAAGTAAACAAACAAAAACCCATGACAGTAACACACTGACACGATGACGAGTGGTCGCCATGGCAGTCTTTATAAACAAAAGAGCTGATGATGAAATGACCAACAAGTGCGATGCTGGAGGAGAAAGCCCTCTGATGCCCCCTGCTGGAAACAAACAGAACAAAACCATGACAGGGACTATTCCGCGGACGACAGGTAGAGGCGCGGTCGACTGGTTGGGCCCTCCTGATTTAGAGTGTCCAATCAGCCTACCATTCATGTTTTTGGAATGCGGGAGGAAACCGCAGTAGCCGAAGAAAAATCCCGGGCAAGCACAGGGAGCACTCACCTTGAATCAGTCCATTTTAGATGAGCTCGGGCCCAGAGAAGCCAGCGGCATTTCTGGGTGTTGTTGATAAATGGCTTTGGCTTTGCATAGTTGTTATATCCGGTGGTCTGCAATATTGTATATTTCCCATGTTATAGCCCCAAAAAAATACAGTGGTGTCAAGTTTAATTGTGTGCATCGTTTATTTCGATATTTTATACAGAGACTCATTGGAAGACAATCTTGTGCACCTATGAGCCAATTATAGACACATTTCATAATTTATGAGATTACCAATAGCAACCCCCCCACCCCCCAACAAACTTCAGAATGATATCACTGTAAAATTTAAGAGAAGTCAAAATCAACGGAGCAAGAGATAGTCAGTTCTAAATGATCCTACATTGCAGAGGTTATCGTTCTAATCCAAATAGAAAACGGTCACGTGAAACTGCCGTTAAGTCAGCGGTCTGATGAAACGATTACCTTGCACCAGAGTGCTGACAACAACAAATAGCACATTGACATAACCTCGAGCCTGACGTACCGATATTTAATTATGTGACTCTTGCTTTGACATCTGAGCTGACTCAGGATTTGTTTGGCCAGCTTGGACACAGCTAGTCAATCAAAATGCCATTAAAGGATCAAACAGCTGTCCGCCTTCAAACAATTTAGATTTAGAAAAAAAAAAAAACATGAAGAGTCATTTTTGAGTGTGCCAGACAACACTGGTAGAAAATGCTGAAATAGTTTACAAGGAAATGATCTTCCTCTGAAATAAAAACAGTATAAATAGGGTCCTGTACACTGTCCTGGACACTGTTCACAATGGAACAGGACAATTTACGCCAAGTGTGGTTAGTAGGCTTCATGACACTATTATGTAGTGATGTCATCATCTCTAATCATTTTTACACGCGTAAAACATTCAAGTTCGCAATTCAGATATTTTTCCTAAAATCATATTGACAAATGAACAGGTCCCAATTAATTAAAAAAAACAAACCAAAAAGTTACTACACCGTTACCGCATATCAGTGATAGGCACCGTTTTCTGTGCAAATTTTGGACTGGATTAGTAGACAAGTGCATTTCAGTGAGGAGTCACCGGTCAAGAGCCATACTCCACAGTTTCTTCTGTGATGGGTTTGAATTCGTAGTTTCCTCGGCCATCCATGTGCAGGTAATACTTGACAGAAAAAGGGTGAAAGGTTTAAGCAAAAAATTCATTTGTCACAACAGAATTATACCTAAGAAATCTTGAAAAGGGTTTCACACATGTCTTGTCTAATTTTGAAAGGATGTATTTTCATTCACAGCCCAAGAATATCGCAACTCCATTTTTTCTTTGCACCTCACCTATTATCACACTCCATAAGAATTAGAACCGACACTGTTGAACTCTCCTTTGTCACCCGATATTAGCACTGTGAAACTTTGCTAATCTTCAGGATGGATTAAGATAATTAAGTTCTTCATTTCAAAGGGGGCCATTATCATGCTATTTTAAGATTTCCACGGTTAACTATGGGCATAGACATATATCATTATACAGTGATCCCTCGCTATATTCATCTCTCCTTTTATTATTTATAATTTTATCTGTGGTTTTATTGTTCTTGTTTTGATTGTAAAGTGTCCTTGAGTGTTTTGAAAGGCGCTTATAAATGTAATGTATTATTATTCTTATTATATCGCGGCTTCAGTGCATCGTGATTTTCTTCCCCAAAGAACTGCATTCATTTAAAAAAAAAAAAAAAAAAATGCCGAATGACTCAGAGGTTTTGTACATGCCTGTACTGTACTGTATAGGCAACAGGCACTCGTTCAAGGCGCATGATTGGTCGCCAGCGCAACGTCGACCAATGACAGCACGGGTGGATTTATCCCATGAGCTGATTGGCTGTGCATCTTCGCAGCTCCAACCAGCACTTTCCCTTGTGTCTCGTCACCAGGTTGACTCTTTGATCAGTATCTTAGTGGGCCGAAGGGAGCCGCTTTTCCCCAACGCTGATGCAAAAATTCAAATGTTTATGATGAGAAAACCTTTATTTGTCTCACAATGGAGAAATTCCCAATTTACAGCGGCAAAATTATGAAAGGGAGAAGTAGAAGAAGAAAAAGTATATCAATACATATAAATTATAAAACATAAATATAGAATTTACCTGGTGGCTAATCGTGAAAGTGGACGTGCGTATAGTCTGCAGGCGCGGTACGGTGGGGGGCTCCTTACTTTTTATGTATAAACAATTTTTTTTTTTTTTTATTGGGCAGAGCTGTTGTTTAGAGTGCAATAATGAGCAGAAATGCGTGAATGGAAAAAAACATTTCAGGGATCCTTTTTTTGGGAAGGAATTAGCATTTTAACACGGCTAAAAGCTGAAAGAAAATTTTAGTGTGGTATGATATGGCCCCTTTAATAGTAAACTTATTGAGGGTTGTCTCGTGATCGCTATATGATTAATTGATTATACTGTTGACAGTTAAGTTAATCACTGCATGACAAGTGACATGTGAGTTAAATGCTTGAGATGTTTGGCACTTCTTTAGAAAGTACTACATATTCTCAAAAATATGTATTATTGTTTTTTTTTTTTTTAAATGATTGATCAAATGTTTTTTGGGGCTGTTGTCTTTAATGTTCCATTAATAACGTTGCGTTGTGTTCCAATGTTCATCTCAATTCTTACCTCGTGATGCTTCCAAAGAGACTTCCTGTGAGAAACCGTGAACAAAGTAATGCCCACCTACAAAAGAAAGACAAGACAGGACTAGTTACAGTGTCAATAAAGTAAAAGCTGTTCAAACTAGATCACATCTATATGCTTGATAAAAATTTTAAAATAAAATTCACCCGTAGAGTTTTCGCTCTGATTATTCAAATACACATTTATTGATCAGTGAGGAATGTGCTGCGCAGAATAAAAGCAGTAAAATTTACATGAACATGTTAAAATAAATACAGCATATCCTTGAAACAACTTCGGATTTTACCACCCTAACTTTTGGTGTCGGCCATCTCCTGTGCAAAACCCATTCAAGGTCATCCCACAGACTTTTAAAGGTAGACCTTGACAGAACCATCTGTGAAAGTTGTAAGCTGAAACGTAACATTTTTTTAAACTAATTATTCGTTTATGTCATGCCAATAATGAGATATTTCTGAAATAATGCTGCACAAGAACGAGAGGGAAAAGCGGAAGGAACTCGATTGTGTCTGCAAATTTAGAAAAAGAAAAAAAAAACACGCTAGCGTATGTTACGCTATTGTTTAAGCAAGCTTATATTTTACCATACCTGCATCCAATAATGCAATGTGTTGTGGATGTGTTCAATAAAGAAATAGCTCCCCTAACTGACACTAAGCCACTTATCAATTCACACTCACAAAACATTCATTGGTAGTTTGACTACAGTTCACATTTGGATATCGTGTGAAAAAATCTGTGTGGGAAATTGTTAAAGATATGACGGCTGTTTATCAGATTCTGTGTCGGCCGATTTATCTAAGCAATTTTTTGTTTTTTTTTTGTCTACCCCAACTCGACAGAAAAAAAACAGCAAATCCTCGAGGACTAGATTTGAAAGGGCTAGTTTCACGGTACCAACAATATTTGAGTGTTTTATTATCTGTAAATTACAGTAATTTTATTTTTTTCTGTGTTACCTATTAAGTTTGCAAGTAAAAAAAAAAAATTAATTACCATTTAGGTCACGGTTTTAACATTAAATATTTGAATAAAGAAGTCAACTTTTTTTATACCCACTGACTGTTGAGTGAGTTATCCATGTTTCCATACTATCTCGGAGTACCCTTTAATGAGAAGTTCGCAATTGAAAGAGATCATACCATTCTGCAATGGCTGTAGATGTAGTCTTCCACATCAACACTCACGGCACTGGTGCACTCGTCCAGGATAGCAAATTGGGGTTTGTGGTAGAACAGTCGGGCCATCTGCAAAGACAAGAGAAAAAAAGGAATGAAACGCAAAATTACAGAGTTCAAAGTGAATATTTGTAGAAGGTTTTACATCGCATTTTTTTCCCCCCAAAGAACTGTATTCAGAAAAAATTGCCGAATAATGCAGAGGTTTTGTACACGGCTGTACGCATGATTGGTTTCCGGCGCGAGGTTGACCAGTGACAGCACGAGTGGATTTATCCCGTGAGCTGATTGGCTGCGCATCTTCGCAGCCCCGGCCAGCACATTCCCTTGTGTCTCGTCAAGCTGTTGACTCTCTGATCAGTATCTCGTCGCGAGGTTGCGTTTGCTACGTGCGTGGCGGGGAGAGCGAGAGCAAGAGAGTAAAGTTTGCATGTTCTCCTTAAATCTTGATGAACAGTGTACATGTGATTAAATACTTACTCAAGGTACTTGTGGTTGTTCTATAAAGTGACAGTTATAAAACACAGTAGAGATGAATACTTACAGCCATCCTCTGCTTTTCTCCTCCACTCAAAACATCCATCCAGTCCTGCACTGAGTCCCAACTGCCCTCCCTGTTTAAGATGTGGCCCAGCTGAACATTGTCCAAGTACTCCTTCAATACCTGGAGTCATGGGGAACAAAAGTAATGCGATTACAAAGACGCCACTGTATTTCTTGGAAGACAGAACTCAAGTAACACCAAAAATTTCCAACGGTTGGCGGGAGCCCTCACACTAGAGCAGTCCTTCTCAAATAGTAGGGTGCGCCCCCCTCCGAAAGGATTGGTCCATTTCTTAACAGTTTCTGTTCTTTTATATTATTCTACATTAGATGCACTGTTGAATAAAACTGTTTCAAACGAATGGAACATTTGTCAGGTAATTGAATGTTTATCGTGCTCTCATTTGTCATCTGCAGCAAGGAATATGCAATACGTCAAATCCAGCTTGATTTGATGAGTGGAAAGCTTTCACTTGTCAGTCTTATGCTGCACCGCTGCCACCAAGTGGCAAACTGAACAACTACACAGGGAACTGACTCAAGACACATCGTCACTGGAAATAACGGAACGTGGTGCGAAATTAAATCTAAAAGTCAATGAAAATTAATAAATAACATGGTAGGTGAATGTCAATAACGAATACTACTGCATTAAGAAAGAATGAACAACAACAAACCCGTAATTATTGACTATTATTATTTATTAACTATGACCAAATAATTGCCTCTAAGGTATGCTGGCTACGCATTCAAACTATACAAGCATAGCAGGTTTTTTTGCTTTTTTCTTTTTTTTAGCCTCATCGATACACACACACACGCACGCACGCACACACACACACATACATACACGATAAACAAAATTCACAGTTCCGAGTTATCATTAGCACCACAATTCAGTACTTTTTCAACATGTTTTTTATAATTGCTTGCTTTTTTAAAATTATTTAGACACTTCAATGTCCTCCCTGATAAAAGATGCTTACAAACGCAAAGAAACAAGGTTAAAAAAAAGAGAAATAATTAGAAAAACACATAGCAGTGCTGGCAATTGATGGCAATCTACTTCCAGAACAAATCTCTCTCCTCACACAGAGAGAGAGAGAGAGAGAGAGAGAGAGAGAGAGAGACCCACATACATACAGTATCTCTGGATGTCTGGATGTACAGTCTCATTGACTGAAGATGGACAGCAGATGAGATCATGGTAATCATAAATCTAAGGAAATGATATTCCAAATCCAATTCAAAGTGGCCATGAGAACCGAAAAGCATTGCACTACACTTCTCCCTCTCTTGCCCCACTTTTGTCTTTTTTGTCTCGGGCTGACCGGTCGCGGCCCTCCGGGAGAAGCCCCACCGCCCCTTTAGGCCAGCCTGCTCCGAGCCCTTCTGCATGTGCATGCCCAACATAGTACAGTTTGGCTTTTAATGTCAAAGTGGACTTTGTCTCACCTGATCAGATATTCCTTTCCTCCTTTGTTCTTCAATGGTGTCAGGGTAAATCACTTGGTCCCTCAGAGAACCAAGGGTCATATAGGGTCTCTGGGAGGGAAAAAAAAATGGTGTTGCTGAACACATTTTTCCTTTTATTTGTCAGTGTTGGCACCGTCGCCAGTTTGTATATGTTACCTGTGGAACATAAAAGAGCTTCCCTCTCTCTGGTTTAGTCAGTTGTCCCCCAAACAGAGGCCAAAGCTAGAAAACACATAGACACAGTTACTTGAAAGGTTCTATAGTGATAACGTATGTATACACAGACATCCATTGAACATACTTAAATGCAGTTCAAGGACTTGATTTTGAGCATGTATGTCAGATATTTCAATTTAACCCCAATTCCCTGGCGAATAAAGGGAGTCGACTGTTGTTTATTTATCGGATCGCTGTATGGTTATTGTTTTTTGTTTTTTTAACTCGCTAATCAGCTCCAAAATCCTGATCGTGAAAAACCAAGGCACAATGATACTTTTGGACTGTCTCATCCCTCTCACCTGTTGGACCGTGTGAGTCATTTCAATGATAAAATGCATGCTACATGAAATAAACAGCAGATGGAAAAAAAAAACAACATATTTTCCCTTGTGTAGAAAACAAAAAACTTACTTCTCCAAGGACTCTGAACAGCGAGCTCTTGCCACAACCATTTGGTCCGCACACAAGAACATTGGTGCCAGAACTCACCTTGAGCGGGTAAGAAAATTAGTTTTAGCTTTTAGTTTTCGTTCATGATTTAATTTCACTTCTAGTATTTAAAAAAAAATAAACTAAGTGAAAAGGAGACATCTATCATATCATCTATCATCTGAATGTGTTTTGCCTCCAAGTGTTTCATGCCACAAATGGGCGTGGTCATTTTTTTTTTTTTTTAACCAAGGTAATGAAAGTGAAAGTCAAACTGAGATAATCACACACTTGAATAAGCCTTATTCAACAGGCAAAATTCAGTTTCAATTTTGCAAAAATGTATCCACAGTAAAAGGAATCACTTTACCTCAAATGTGAGGTCTCTGATTAGAATGTCTCCATTTGGTGTTGCCAGAGGGGTATGGTCAAATCTGCAAAGTAAAAAGGGTTTCAGCTAAAAAAAAAAAAAAAAAAAAAGAAAAAGAGGCACAAATATACTTACTTGATGATATTATCTCTGTTGATAATTTCACCTTTTCCAGGCACGAGTGTCAGACTTTCTGTTGCGTCAGTCTCTGTAAGTAAAATACACCATTCAGTCAGAGCCAGTCCACTGATTTTGTTTTTTTTTGTATTATTCATTGAACATCAGAATTACTAAAACCATGATTTTCTAACAAGAACAACTACAATAGGGTGGTCAAGTGTGTGATCACTCGCATCCACTTGTCTCATTAATACGTCCAACAGTGCACCATGGCTGGCCACAATTATACCAACGGCGAGCTGAATTCAGGCGAAAAGCTTATTTACACATAAAATATTTTTTATCAATTAGAAAATTGACCATTTTGAACCAGAATTATCTTGCAAAGCAGATAAAAGGATATCAAAAATTATAAAAGATAAAAATGCTTTCGCGGGATATTTAACAAATTTACAACACGAGTCATACAGTAACATGACTGGAACTGTCACGTTCTCAAAAGATTAAACATTTGTAATTTATTTCATTTTGGAAAATACGTTCATAAAATCCAGTGTGTTAAGATCATTTGTTTGCAACGTCTAATTGAGATGTATTTGTCCAATTTGGTAGCCTTACTCAGAAGGTAAGCTACGTGTAGGATTTTTGTTGAAAAACTGTGTCACCTATTTACATTTACATCAAGCAATGTGTCACTTCATACCAAGAACAGCTGCTGCAAAGCAAAAGAAAACAGTGATTGCGACAAACCATATTCACCCTTCTGTTGGGAAACCATGGTGCGTTCATATTTGCCAGAATTTAAATCCTTCAAGACTTTTAACAGCTCAGTGATACGAGTTGTGAATCTGTGGGGGAGGAGAAGACAACAACCAAATGAGATCAGAAATAACTGAATTGAGCAGAGAAGATTAGTCTACTGACTCTACTCTAAGCACTACTCTACGTTTGGTCATTAGTCGACTGGCAAAATACTGTATTTTCTGCACTATAAGGTGCACCTCAAAACATTCAATTTTCTAAAAAGACGACAGTGCGCCTTATAAACTGATGTGTCTTCCATGAATCAATACTCCGATTTTCTGGAAAGCGCTATGTCACAGCTGCAGTTGTGAAAGCGCTATATAAATAAAGCTGTGATGTATTGTATTCCCTTCAGTGTAGCTCCATCTAGTGGATGCATAACGCGACCGCAGCCAACATTGTGGTTTCTATGCTATGCGCCTTGTAATGTGGTGTGCCCTATATGTGAAAACTGTTTTTAAATAGGCCATTCATTGACGGTGCGCCTTATACTCCGAAGCCTAATAGTGCGGAAAATACGGTAATTGTTCGTGGCAGTCGTATTCAGGAATAATGATGAGGGGAAAAAATGTGAAAAGCAGAGAAGCCACTGCTCATTCCACACAATTGTTGTTGTTTTTTCAGAATTAAATACTTACCCTGAGAGCCGAGTCATTTCTCGACCAGCGAGAACAATCCTGCCAAGAGCCTGGGACATCCGAAGGAGCATCCTGCCACTCTGGTAATAATCCTACCGAAAAAATGTCCAACACTGCTTAAGACTCATTGTTTAAAAACACATCCACTAAACATTTTTCAGAACAAAATATTTTTTGATTCGGGTCATTGTCATTCAGTGTTCAAGATGATCTGAGGGTGGATGAAGAATTTAAGCAGGCTATAGTATCTCACAAAAATGAGTACACCCCTATTTTTGTAAATATTTTTTCCTATGTTTTCATGGAACAACACAAGGGAGAAGACACTTTGCTAAAATATTGACAGTGTGTAGCTCTTGCCTGCGAATAGAATGGAGATTTCTTTCCAGTGAATGGGAGCCATTGCTTCTTCATAGGGAAACGTGTTAATGGCATCTATAAAATCCTAAATTTGGGAGCAATGTCTCTAATACTTTTGGAATAGAAAGAGTTCATGCATATACATGAGCAAATAAATTTGGATGATGATCAGTCATGTTTTTCATGCATTAAGTGATGTTAACATTTTCTCTCTGAAGCATATAACGTCAACAAAATCAATACTATTGCCACCTTGATCATCATCATGTGGAGCAAGAATTCTTTAATTCAGACACGCAGAATGTTATTTTCCACCAAATGCCATTTTGAACTTTCACAGACCAGTATGAGAGCGTGTGAGTGTGTTTACACCAATTTTAAAATGTTCCCCCGTTACATTTACCAGTCACATGGCACCAAATAGGGGAAAATATAGATAGGGGAAAAAATTATAATGGGGCCCAATTTGGATGTTTCACTCTGGAGTAAACCCACTTTTGTTGAGTTATTAACAGCTGTTTTGAGGGGCCAGCAAATTTCCATTGTGTTACAAGCGACGGACTCCATTGTATTGCCATTTTTCTTCACAGTAAATCATTATTCCACACTATATTTTCTTCCTGAGATTACAAATCTAAATGGTCAGAGTCATTTAAAAGTGTGGTCCACGATTTGTACAATTGACATAATGATTTTATTTGCCCACTCTTAGCTAAAACAATTCAAAATACAATGAGGGAAAAGGCAGTGGAATTGCATTTTTTTCTGATGTAGGAGTGTGATTGATCTCGCTGACCTCCAGGAGCTCAGACTGTGTGCTGTGATGATGTCGCGGGTGGGACAGGTTTAAGAAAGGCCTGCTAACCACCAGGTATCCCACAACAGTGGCAATGTCTGCAAGAGATCCACACACACACACACGCACGCACGCACGCACGCACGCACGCACGCACGCACGCACGCGCGAACAAATTAGAAAATGGACACACGTTTTTCAATTTCGGTTCATAGATACGACTACTTGGCAGACGTGGGTGGAGAAGTAAATTTTTCTGGTCAGTCATTCTTCACTCCACAGCAAAGAATGATATATATATATATATGTTCTTAATAAAAGTTAAAAAAAAAAAAATTCTGAAAAACTGTGATACAGTCGAAAATGTTGGTGCAACGAATGCTTGATCCAAAAACAAAATGTCAGGCGCACCAGTGGACCCAGTGCAAAAAGTTAGCCTACAGCCCTGCTCAAAGTAAAACAACCAGCCGAATAATGGCATGCATCTCAAAAACCTAACTCGGGATCATAACATGGGCTGCTCCCTGGACACTGGAGGAGGTGGCCAACAGGAGGAGCTAAGCTAACAGCTATGATGGACAGACCCCCCCCAACGCTCGCTCGTTCCTGCCGACGGCTGTCAGACTATTGAATAGACGGGCCTGAAAACCTGGACTCACCCCCCACTCAACCATTTTTAATATGCTTATTTTTATATTTTATATTTATATCTATTGATATACTTTTTGTTCTTCTACTTTATCATTTCATAATTGTGCTGCTGTAAATGAGGAATTTCTCCATTGTGATACAAATAAAGGTTATCTTAGCTTATAAATACATAATAGTACTTAAAAGTAAGAAAAAAAATTCCACTTACATTTGGCAATTATGCTGTCCACAAATCCCATTGTAAAACGGAAGAAGATGAAGTTATGTAGATGGTCAACCTGGAAGGTATGTATGAAAAAAAATCTGACTGAGCGTATATAAATTCTGAACCATTTATCCATCAAAAGCGTGACATTTTTTTTCATTTCAAGCGTATAAAAATGAGTAAAATAGAAGGATTGATATTGTTTGAAAAAAAATCAACACAAACAGCAAATAATTAGCCTGTTTACACAAACATGATTATTTTCATGTACGAAAAGGAGGAGGAAGAAGCTTAAAGAAGCTCTTTTTGTTTACTAATATATCAACATTACTGATGAATCTTAAGTGTTGATGTAAAGAGACGAAATTTGTGAGTCAGGGTTCATAACGGGTTCTATATACTGCATATCACAGACAGATAAAGATAAAGATAGAGCTAGAGAGATAAAGATGGAGAGATAGAAAGAGAGAGAGACAGAGAGATAGAGAGAGATATGCAAAACAGTAACACATACAGTCACACTACACTACAACCTCAACTAATACCTACCAGTTTTTTAAAAGTAGTGTGAATGGTCTGTTTTTCTCTCAGGTTCCCATTGTAGAATGCAATCTCCTCACTGCAGGAAAAAAAAAAGGTTGATTTACACAGTAGATGGCAATTTTCAGGGGATGTTTTAAACTGCTTGATAAACAATTCATCTTTCAAACCTGCATTTCATGTTTAATTGGGTCATCTTTATCTGATAGTCAAATTTGTTCGATCTTGAAGCTTAAAAAATATATATACAGTGGTACCTCGACTTACGAATGTTTCTTCATATGAAATTCTCAAGTTACAAAATGCCTCAACAGGAAAATATTGCCTATTGTTTCGAAAGAAATTTCAAGATACAAAAGGTGAAAATACAGTATGGGCCGCTATTCGCAGCTACGAGTTTCCTGAACGCAACTTTCTTATAGCTGCTCTGCCATTGGCTATTACCTAGCATCTTCCTGGCATCCCATTGACTAAGAGGGACCTCTATCATATGTGTCTATGTGAGAGGATAGATAAGATATGCGTCTATGCAGCGTCTTCGTCAATCGCCCCTCAGGCCATGAGGCGTTCCGATAGTTTTACGTAAATGTGAATCACCCAGAAAGACGTTGTTCACCAGTCGTGCTATCGCTCACGATGCTGATGTTTGCTTTGGACATTTTCGAAAGACTGTGAAAAGCTGACAAAAGCAAACGTCCTTGGATTAGTTCTTTATAAACGCCAGCCAAAAACCACTTCTGAGAGAGAACATGAACTAAAGAGGGCAAACAACAATGAGGACACAGTTAAAAGTTAAATGACCATAATTTTTATTCTTGACTTTCTTCTTTTTTACATTATGCACAATTCTCATTTATTGTGCGACAATATAATTGTAACGTATTTTTTACATATTTTGATGCATTTTTATGCTTTACAAAACATTTATGTCTGAATTTCGGGGTGGTTTGGAACGGATTAGGGCATTTACATGGAAAACGCATCTCTACTTACAAAATTTTCTCATTAAATTTCTTCCAGAACCAATTCATTTCGTAAGTTGAGGTACCACTGTATTCGAGTAATGAAAAATAATGAAATTTGAGAAGAGGACAGACACTTGACTGCACTGTAGTTTCACTGGTCACACTGTCCTGCTTACTGGCAAATCCGTTGCAAGAGGTTAAATCGGACATCATACAAAGTGAGACTTGGCCTACAAGTTCTTAAAAACAAAGACATCATGTCACAAGCCAAAGAAATTTAAGAACAGGTGCACATGTGCATAAAATCTATCAGTGTGGTAAAAGGCTTTAGGACTCCAGTGAATCATGTCAAGAGCCACACCCACAAAAAATCCAAAACATTCAAAGAACTGTAGTTTTTCACTGGCATTGGTTCGTGACACAGACATTTGGAAGACATTGTGCAAAAATGGCATCCAAGGGAAAGTTCCAAACGGCCAAAAAACACATTGATTAACCCTGAAGACTTTTGGAGAAATTCATCCATCCATTCATCCATCCATTTTCCAATCTGCTTATCATTACAAGGGTCGCAGGCATGCTGGAGCCAATATCCCAGGGCAATGGGCGGGTCACAGCCTGAACTGGTTGCCACCCAATCGCAGGGGACACAGACGATCCATCCGCGCTCACAATCACACCGTAGGAAAATTTAGAGTGTTCCGTTAACCTGCCATGCAGGATTGTTGGAGGAACACGTTCAAAATTTCTTTGCCACAAGGAGAACTCTTTGCAACCTTTTACGAACTCTGACAAAACCCCAACATTTGCAAGGTTTGAAAGCACTCGCTGCTCAGTGAGATACGGCTTTACGAGACAGGATGTAATATGAGATCATAACTGTTGGGGTTTTTTTATCCTTTAACAATGCAAGCACAGGCCGCAAAAGAAAATCTGTATTGAAACAGACGAACCACTTCCAAATTCTCAGTGCTGGTTCATTTACCTGTTGGTGATGAGGCGAGAGTTTACATAACGGTACTCTCCCTCATAGCGTTGCTCCGTGACAGTCATTTTGCCGATGGGTCTCCTCAATCGGGTCAGCAGCAAACCGGAGATGAGCAGGTATGACATCATGATGGCTGGGCCCTAGGTAGGCAGAGAATTATAGATGTCTATAAATACATCTATCCATCGATCCATTTTCTTCCGCTTATCCTGTGTCGGTTCGCAGGGCCAACAGCTTTAGCAGGGAAACCCAGACTTCCCTCTCCCTAGCCACTTGTTCCAGCTCTTCCCAGGGGTGTCCCGAGGCGTTCCAAGGCAAGCTGGGTGACATAGTCTCTCCAGCGTGTCCTGGGTCATCCCCGGGGCCTCCTGCCGGTGGGACATGCCCAGAACACGTCACCAGGGAGGCATTTAGGGGGCATCCTAATAAGATGCCCGAGCCACCTCATCTGGCTCCTCTCGACGTGGAGGAGAAGTGGCATGACTCTGAGCCCCTCCAGGATGACCGAGCTTCTCACCTTATCTCTAAGGGAGAGCCCGGACACCCTGCGGAGAAAACTCATGTCGGCCGCTTGTATGCAGCATCTCGTAGTCTCTCCAGCGTGTCCTGGGTAATCCCCGGGGACATGCCCAGAACACGTCACCAGGGAGGCATTCAGGGGGCATCCTAATAAGATGCCCGAGCCACCTCATCTGGCTCCTCTCGACGTGGAGGAGAAGTGGCATGACTCTGAGCCCCTCCAGGATGACCGAGCTTCTCACCTTATCTCTAAGGGAGAGCCCGGACACCCTGCGGAGAAAACTCTTGTCGGCCGCTTGTATGCAGCATCTCGTTTTTTCGGTCACGACCCATAGCTCGTGACCATAGATGAGGGTTGGAACGTAGATCGACCAGTAAATTGAGAGCTTCGCCTTTTGGCTCAGCTCCTTCTTCACCACGACAAACCGACACAAAGTCCGCATCACAGTAGGGTGTAGGGCTAGTCCAATGTTCCACGGCCAAGACGAAAACTTCACTGCTCCTCCTGAATCTGAGGCTCAACTACCTGACGGACCCTCCTCTACAGCGCCCCTGAATAGACCTTATTACCAGGGAGGCTGAGGAGTGTGATCCCTCTGTCGTTGGAACACGCCCTCCGGTCCCCCTTTTTAAAAAGAGGGACCACCAACCCGGTCTGCCAATCCAGAGGCACTCTCCTCGATGACCACGCGATGTTGCAAGGGCATGTCAACCAGACAGCCCTACAACATCGAGAGCCTTGAGGAACTCCGGGTGAATCTCATCCACCTGTGGGGTTCTGCCACAAAGAAGCTATTGAACCACATCGGTGACTTCAACCCCGGAGATAGGAGAGCCCACCTCAGAGTCCTCATACTGTGCTTCCTGCAAGGAAGGCGTGTTGGTGGAGTTCCGGAGGTCTTCGAAGTATTCTGCCCACCGACTCACAACGCCCCGAGTCGAGGTCAGCAGTGCCCCATCCCTACTGTACACAGTGTTAATGGTGCATTGCTTCCCCCTCCTGAAACGTCGGATGGTGGACCAGAATCCTCAAAGCCATCCGGAAGTCAGCTTCCATGGCCTCACCAAACTTTTCCCACGCCTGAGTTTTTGCATTCCGCTTAGCCAGTCAATACTCATCAGCGGCCTCTGGGGTCACACAGGCCATTAAGGCCCGACAGAACTTCAGCTTGACGGCATCCCTAACTGCTGGTGTCCACTAGCGAGTACGGGGGTTGTCGCCACGACAGGCACCAACCACCTTCCGGCCACAACTCAGTTGGCCTCAACAATAGAGACACAGAACATGGTCTACTCGGACTCAATCTCTCCCGCCACCCCCGGGACATGGGAAAAGCTCTGCCAGAGGTGGGAGTTGAAACTCCTTCTGACAAGGGATTCCGCCAGAGGTTCCCAACAAACGCTCACAATACGTTTGGGTCTGCCAGGTTGGACCGGCATCTTCCCCCACCATCGGAGACAACTCACCACTGGGTTGTGATCAGTTGACAGCGCCACCCCTCTCTTCACCCGAGTGTCCAAAGCATGTAGCCACAAATCCCAATTCCTCCCAATCACACCGTTCCAGGTCTAAATGTCATTGCCCACGTGAGCATCGAAGTCCCCCAGCAGAACATGGAGTCCCCAGCAGGAGCGCTCTCCAGCACACCCTCTAAGAGTCTAAGGACTCCAAAAAGGGGGGTACGCTGAGCTGCTGTTCAACAGTCAAGAACCGTCCCCCCACCCGAAGGCGGAGGAAGGCAACCCTCTCATCTACCGGTGTGAACCCCAATGTACAGGCCACATCCCACCCCTAATTTAGACACTTAGACAATTTCAATGACCTTGGAAACAAGCATAGTGTCGCATACCTGAGCTCCAATGGCACTTGTCAGCTTGAAGATGTACAAACCAATATCGAGCAAAGGCTGTGGAAAAGACAAAACGGACTATTAGTGTTTGACAACAACTCAAGGGCATATCTATGTATTACACTCGTGAACAAAAATTAGGTTCCCTTCAATTTAAGAACAACAAAAAAGAAACCACACATTTTTCAATGACAGGGCATTGTGATTTTCCAAGAATATTGTAGTAGATAGAAGTGATAATTTGAAAATGTAAACAATGGAAGGGATTTTTACAACTAAAGTGTTGCACATTGGTATTAAGGTTTCCTAATTATTGTGCGAAAACATTAACACGATCAGGATCTGCACATAAATGAATGTTAGTCGTTATGAATAATAACGAGGACTGTCAGTTAAGTCGTTTTAGAATTGATTATCAATAACTCCATCGAGTGCTCCGGAAATCGACCCATACTCCCATTTCAAGACAGCAAATTTTGTGTCAACCAAAATTTTGTGGTCAACTTTTTCCCCCCCAAACTAAAAGAATACGTGACAATAACAATAATTGTTTATGTAGTTTCAGCAAATTTGTTATATCAGAAGCGTGTATCACACTGGTAGACTGTCGCACCAATCTGCAGCCAAGCACAAGCTCTCAGCTTCAAAAAGGTTGGTGTACTACGTTTACAGGTACGGAGCAAATTAAACAGAGGTTGGCCAATGACTTCTGAAATGAATGTACAGTATTAAACTATTTCCCAAATCGTATTCAATGTGATTTTTATGAGCTCAAGAATCATTGTGCCGAGAGTTTAAGTTTTGTACCTTGCTGAGGTTGGAATAGAGATCCACCACACTGTTGCAAAATTTTTCAACATCTTGAGTCAACAACTGGTCTGCATTGGCAATCCGGTTGTCCAAGTTGCCCATTTTGTAGTAGGTGAAGCCCCTGAAAGAGAGGAAAAAAGATTTCAGGGAATATATGAACAATAACTGGATATCAAGAATCATGACCCATATAAAAAAGGTGCGCTTTCCAACACGTTCAGTTTTCAACTGTCCACCACTCAAGACAGAGTTCAATTTGGTTGAAATTAATATCTGCCGGGAAAATGTTTTGTCTGGATTCTGCAGTTGGATGCTGAACAAGGGCCAGCATGTATGTGTAAGAGAGAGATGGGGAAATAAGTTTGTTGCAAAAAAAAAAAAAAAAAAAAAAGTGGTAATTGTACATATTTCTAGAAATTACAGATTGTGGACCCAGCAGGCAAAGAGTCCCCCTTGGCGTTGTCAGCAACCCATGGCTCGGGAGCCACATGCAGCTCTTTCATCCTTATGTTGCGACTCTGCACGGCTTGGGAAAATGAAGCAACGTATCCGATTAAATCATTAAAAGTGTCTTTCTCAAAAACGTGTTTCACTTCTTTCGACAGACCTTATGCAATTGGGTGATCAGCGTTCGCCTTCAGAGACCTTTGTGAGCACTTGCCGTGTATTCAAGCATTTATTTTGCCAAAATTTGATTGTTCTGTAAAATAGTGCTACTTTTTCCCAATTAATTTTTAAATTCAGGTCAAGGCTCCGCTACACACTCCAAAAGCCAAAAGGATGAAGGCTCACGCTGGAGGTTTGCTCTCACTTTTGCCTTTTAATTGTTTGAAAGATACCATCAACTGTGATTTTTATAACAGTATTTGCTGCACGATAAGGCGCTTCAGATGACACGGCGCACCTTCAATGAATGGCCAATTTTAAAACTGTTTTGAGATATAGGGCACTGCGTCATAAGGTGCATTGAAGCTACAATACTGGCTGCGGTTGCGCGATGCATCCACTAGATGGTGCTACTCTAAAGGAATACAATACAATACAATACTCAACTCAACTGTATTTATAGAGCACTTTCAAACAGCCATCGCTGCATACAAAGTGCTGTACATGGAGCAAATTAACATATACAACAAACAATACTGTTCAGCTTTAGTCTCACAGAGCCTTCACAACCACTGCAGCTGTGACAAAGCCATTAGAACTGGTCACAAACACGGACATGAAATGTATAAATACTAATGGCAGAACAAAACAATAAAAGAAAGACAAAAGATTTGAAGACAACTGATTCAACAAAAAGGCTTGCATCCACAAAGGGCTAAATATCTCCAGGAGGCTTGCTTGTCTCCTCCTTCCTTCGTTGAGTCAGTAGTTAACTATGCTTTTAGTACTATCTTTGTTTCAATATGGCTGCGGAAAGCTGACAAAGTAGTTGTCTGTTTGAGTGTGTGTTGGCAACTGCACATGTCAATTCGTATCGGGCAGAACCCTTTTAGGTTACAATTAAGTTCCTGCTAATAATCACCACTAGATGGAATAGGAACACTAAGAGGAAAATAACTTGATGGGGTTAGTGGAAACAACTCAATGGGGAATGTAAAGAGAGTTACAGTCTCTTCAATCAGGTGCATCTATTATAGGGCGCACTGTCGGCTTTTGAGAAAAAGGAATGCTTGAATTGAATGTGCCTTATAGTTGCTGTTACTGTTAATTTATTCACAAAAATCAAAAATTAACGGATCCTTATGATTGTATCAAAATCAGCTTTGTCGTACTGAATCGTGTCATTCCAAAAAAGTGACACAGCACTTTGTGTCGAACCGTTGAGCCTTTTGAATCGAGGTGTATCGTGTCGGTCAAAAAGACATTTGGTTACAACCCTAATAAATATAGTTATAGGCGTAAAACCGCAATAAGAGAAAGTTATTTAAGTTTAAAAAGATGCTTATACAAAGCCTCTTTTGCTAAGGCCAGACAAAAAAGATGTGTGTTTCCGGTAACATGAAATTTCACCGGGGCGCGCTGCCGCCTCCGCCACCGTCCTCCTCTGCCGTCGGTTTTTACTCGGGCCGTGGTGTTCACCAAATAGTTCGCTGAATTTTTTCGATACATCAATGGATGCTATTTTCTTAACATTACGGTGCGAGCATGCGACTGTAACACAGAAAACGCTGTTTAAACTGTCGTCGGAGATCACGGCCGCCGCCATGTTTCAATGTTGTTGACAGACGACAGGGCAAACGACGCATGCGCTCAACGTGAATATCGCGAGAGTTTGCACCGATGTAAACCCTCTACACAAAAATGTAGAGGGTTGTTTGAAAAAAATGCCGACCGTAAAGTTTTTTTCGAGGTAGAAATTCTCGGTCGGTCGGGTTACCGGAAACACACTGTTTTTTTTTTCTACGCCTAATTTGATGATGGTGTATTACTTACTGCAGGTACTGGTCATATAGGTGCTTTGTGAGCCGCTCTCGAAACCTCAGTTTCAGCTCATTCAGTCCCAACTTCAGGAAGTTGTTCACCAAGGCTATCTGTAAGGCAACAGATCACATTAATCCCTCCTAAAAAAAACGTCTTCAAACGGAGTGTAGTGTAAGGAGTAATGGAATGAGAAATTTAGTAAATGAAAGTAAAGTTTTGTATTTTTACGATAAAGAAAACAATGGTGCAACTCACAGAAATAACTCACTGGGAACCACCTGGCTCAATTTTAAAAGAAACACAAAACGGAACACACTTTCTCTCGACAATGATGTGTTACAATAATAGGTTTTCAATAACATATTTCAACTCCTGTGCATCACCAGCTCATACCAATGGTGAAAAACAATGGTTGCAACATCATGCTTTGGGTTCATTTTTCTTCAGCCGAAACAGGCTCTTTTGTCAAGTGATGAATGAACAACTCCAAACACGGTGTACTGTTTCTGGCCGTTCAAGTTTGATTCATTCAAGGACAAAGCTTGAAAACCTATCCATCCATGTTCTAATGTACTGATCATCACAAGAGCATGCTGGAGCCTATCCTAGCTGTCCTCGGGCAGGAGGCGGGGGACACCCTGAATCGGTTGCCAGCCAATCGCAGGGCACACAGAGACGAACAACCATCCACGCTCACACTCACACCTCGGGACAATATAGAGTGTTCAATCAGCCTACCATGCATGTTTTTGGAATGTGGGAGGAAACCAGAGTACCCGGAGAAAACCCACACAGGCACGGGGGAGAACATGCAAACTCCACACAAGAAGGCCGGAGCGGAGTCGAACCCTACACCTTTGCACTGCGAAACCGACGTGCCGCCCAGCTTGAAAACCCAATTTACTGAAATCCATTTTCTCCATTAAAATGAATTAAAATGCCATTGATGTATTTCAGATCTAAAACAAAACCACGATTAAAGAAACAGCACTGCATAACATTAAAGCTTAACTCATTTCATACACAATACGCATACGCATGTATAAAACGTAGTCCTCACCGAACCAGAACTTATACACAAGTATTTTATGTTTTTTTTCCACTTGAAAATGGACAGGAGAGTCTGACACAACTTTTGACTTAAGGATCCGGCTTGACTGCAACATTAATCATTTTAAACACCTGCCATCAGGCGGCACTGTTTGTAAAAAAAAAAAAAAAATCAGCAAGGATCATGTTACAGAGGAAGTATAATAGCAGGAATAGAAGAAAGGAATAGGATGGAGATGTGGTCTGTACTGTGTACAGTTTGCATACAGAAAGGGGAAGGAACATGGAGATAGTACAGATGGATAAAATAAGACAGCAGACCCTCAAGGGTGGGTTTTTTTTTTGGGGGGGGGGGGCTCCTCGTCTTAACATGATGACGGCTTTGATGGCGAAAATGACACTTTGTCCCAGAAAATGGAACACGTAGTCCTCAAATGAGGTTCCACATGGGTATGGCTCGCATGGCTCACGGTGCATTTCGCCCGAGATTTCTTCGGACGATACAGATATGTCTGATGAGTCGGTGTCTTCAGACAAAGAAGGGGGCCTTCACTGGACCATTCAGAACAAGGAGTTAAGAGCTAACTAGCTTGCAAGTTCCTGGTTGTAGCTTCCCCATCATGCCCTCATCGTTATATGCCCAGAAATGTGTTCTATTTCACTATAAAGTTGCCATGAATACAAATAATATATGTACAGATCATGCACCTTGTAGATGTCGACAAATAAATGGACAGTTTATGTGCAGTATTGCTTGCTAGATAGGCAAATGTGCGTACTGACATTCGCTCGGTTAGAGGCATCACCAAAAATAAAATAAGAGGTGGTCCAGTCAGCTCTACTAAAAGCACTGCGCTCATTGCATTTCTTCAGTAAGTTGGATGCTCACCAATGAGGAAGAAAACAGTGTCGCGGAGGCATTAGAGTAAACAGCGAGTTACAAGCGTGCAAAATTTCAGAATTGGGAGAGCGCCTTTTACGCCATCAGATTGGGCTACTGTGTTGGACTGCGTCATCAAACATGGGCATGGATGCGGGCTCAGATGAAGTGTGGAACAAGGGCACAAAAGAAGGGGGGGAGGGGCAACAGTGAGAAAATAACGCCCAGCAACCAAGGAAAGAATAGCAATCGGCTTGGGACAGTTTCGCGTTGACATCATCAGGTTAATGCAATTTGGTCCTAAAAATGGGCATTAAGAAATCTTTAAAAAAATCATCAGAAAACAAGCCGATAATCAGCAGCGAAGCAGGAGTATTCTGAATATTTTGTTTGGAACATTTTGAGTTTGAAAGGAAAACTTACATAAATATTAACAATAATATGCATGTAATGTACTGTAAGCATATAGCACTTGGCGTGCAAAATGTCTGTATGTGTGCCTGGCAAGGGCCAAGGCCTCATCAGTGAAATTCAGAAATCGAAGCTGTTTGAGCAGCTTATGAACATCTGAGTTTTGGCCGAATAGAGTTCTGTTTCTGGATTTCAATGTTTTTACTGTTTGTCTTGCACAATGTGCGGCTGAAAGCGCAGCAGCAATTGCCTGTGCTGTCATGTGTCTGAAGCATGCTGGTCACTGAAATTTTGGCTCGCACCACAAGGCAAATGGGGAAAAAAAAAAATCAACAGAGACCTGCTCATTAGTCGAAAAACCTACGTGGGGGCACTCAAAAGTCAAGGTATCACTGTACCAATCCGTTTTGATCCATAAAGTGTGAATTTTTAAATTGAAACGTACAGGTGATTTTTCAGTTTTTAGTCTCAATCGGGGAAAAAAAAAACTGTTGTGTTAATTTCCATATTAACATTGAGTGAGTTAAAAAGTAACTAAATAAAACAGCTTTTTGAAAAGAAATCGTGAAGACGTGAAGCAAATAAAATTGATGTTCACGATAAAAATACAATATAAAAATAGAAATAATGCACTTACAACTGGCATGAATCGGATGAAGCTGAACAAGAAGGTCTTGAAATCTTTCGTTGAGCGGCCAATTATTGCACTGCAAAACATACACAAAGACAAACAAGTCAGAAAAAGCATGTATCACACTGATTATTGACTTGGGTGGTGGGAGGGGTTTGCTGGTTGAATTTCATCTTGGACACGAAATCTAAAGCTCATCCTCTTGGCCCTTTTTGTGTGGAATTTGCATGTTCCTCAAAATCCTCAGTGGGTTTTCTGCTGGGGCTGCAATCTCTTCAACAACATTGAAGAGGACATATTGTGGGAAAGCTCCAGCCTTCCTGTGTGGAGTTTGCATGCTCTCCCGTGACTGCGTGGGTTTTCTCCGGGTACTCAGGTTTCCTCCCACATTCCAAAAACATGCATAACAGGTTGATTGAACGTTCAAAATTGTCCCGAGGTGTGATTGTGAGCACAGATGGTTGTTCGTCTCTGTGTGCCCTGCGATTGGCTGACAACCGCTTAAACTCACATGGGTCGTGGGCCATGCTGGAGCCTATCCAAGCTGCCTTCGGGCAGTTGGTGGGGTACAACCTGAACTGGTTGCCGGCCAATCGCAGGGCACACATAGACAAACAACCATTCACGCTCACACTCACACCTCGGAACAATTTAGAGCACATATGTCAAAGTGCCGGCCCGCGGGCCAAATCCGGCCCGCGAGAATGTTTTCAGTGGCCCCTGGGATGATATTGATTTATTATTAGAACCGGCCCGCGGACTGCAGCAAGCCGAGAGCCCGCAGATCTTTTACACGCACCAAAACTACATTTCCCACAATGCAACGGTGACGCGCCAAGCAGTCGGCCGCTTTATTTAAATATTTATTCGTCTAGCAGTCGTTCCCATAACAGTGACATTAGCTTTCAGATACCCATCAAAAATGGCAAAACGGAAGGTGGACACTGAGAACCGCGGGTTTCAAACAAGGTGAGAGTCGAAGAACATGTTCATGGACGTAGCTGGAAAACCTG